TATGCTTGAATAAAAAAATTAAAAAGATATGATTAAATATACTATGATACAATAGATTCATTATACAAGTGTGCATTTTATTTTTGAAATAAAATCTAATTTGCATAATATTAAACCTAATTTGCATATCATTAAACCAAATTTACATATATTACTTTGGAGGACTGCATTGATGTCACTTGTTATATAAGTGTGTAACGACAATTGACAAATTCTGTCAAAGTCTGACAGCACGGTGGTAAAAAAAATGTAGGTATCAAACAAAATTGTTGTTAATATTATCTTTTCAGATATGGTATACTGTCATAGTGGCTATCTATAGTGGTGTTGGTGTGATTGTATTTGGAACTGTATCATTGGCATTCAGTCATTTTGGTTATGCAGTACAAACTATGACTTCAACCATCAGAGGAGCATATGATTACAGTGAACTCAAGAAAGTGTATCCAATAGCTGTACCAGTGTTTTATATAAGTTATTTTTTAACTTTGCTCATACTTTTGCTTGGAATGGTAAGTATAGTATATATATTGTATTTCATTTATTGACTGCCATCTGAGAATTAAACAATAGGGCTTCTTAGTGGTTAGTGTGTAGTATGTCTGTGCGCATGTGTCTGTTTCACTGATATCTCGTGAACCAATTATCAGATTTCAATGATACTTGGTACATATATTCTCTGTGAAATTGCACATACTTGATTAGTTTTTGGTTGCAATATGTGCATATTAATGACCTAATTTGCATATTAATTAGCCAAATGTATGCATTTTCACTGGTTTCTCATGTACCGGATTTGGCTGATACCCTGCCCATCCTAAACCCCGCCCATGGGCGATGTTTCAAATAGTGGGCGATGTTTTGGTCCACACATTGCCTGACTGAACCTACAAACATTTTTACAGACCCAATTTTCCTGTCCGACATCTTGTATCGAGCGCGCTATTTAAAATATGACGCTAAAAATAATTCACTGTGAAGTCGATAAGCATAAAACTTCAATAAAACCAATGCTGTATGCAAATTGCTGTTGCGTATTATTTCACTTACGTTTATTAGACTCGAATAAAGTCTATGCTTGAAAAGAATGTTATTTACGAAGTTTAAAATAGCCAAGCCTTCCTGATTCGAGCCTCTTGGTTGTTATCAGTAATGTTTAATCTTTGTCTGTATATCGCATTCTAGACAAAAAGTTCAAGATCAGTAAACAAGAAATGGGCGAACTAAAATGTCTCCATCGTTTCACATGCGACATGATTATTAAAAAAAACAGAGTTCAGCGGTCGTGTACGTTCTATAAATCTAACTTTACACACATAATCTTGTATTGACGTGTTTTTTGTCCAAAAAAGACGTTCCCTTTCAGTTAACCCCCAGTTAACTCTTTGCGTTCATGGTA